GAATGGAAACATGGATATTTTTTCACTAGCAAAACCAGGTCAATAAATACATTTTTTGAATTTCGACATCGCTTGTGATGATTTGAAAAAGCAAGTAGTGATGGGTGAAACGGAGCTTTTTGAACTCTGAAAACCTTTGCATCACAAAATGATTTGTATAAGAGCTCCAAGTGTATTGCGAATCATTTGATTCAGATCGGGACTATATAACTAGCCTATTATTAAACCATTAAGGCAGTACAGTTATAAAAACAAAAGAAAGAAAGTATAGCCTACACAAATACAAATCCCTTTTAAAAAAAATAATCATGGTTTTATTATGGTAAAAGTGTAATAACAATGTTATATATATATAAAACCATGGTTATATTTTCAAAATGGATGTGTTGCCAGGTTAATACAAAAAAAGAAAGAAAAAAGTAATAAATTCACAACTTTAAGAGGACTCATATGAATATAGAGATGCAGTTTTTACTGCTTTAGGATGAACAGAGCTTTTGGATAGTTCCCATATACTCATCTAAAACAACTTTGAATAAAAAAAGAGAGGTTTGGAGCCAGATTTTTGTTTGTGTGTGTTAAATTTAGCTTTGCAAGAAACACAGTTAAGTTATATTTTCCTATCTACTCTTAGTCAAGCCATTCAAAGAAAACACATTTAAAACAGAAAGAAAAGACACTTTCAAAAGTGTTTAAAACATATTTGTACAGTTCAGTTGAATGATAAAGCGTACCCTCTTTAGTTTACCCACTTTATGTTGTTAAACTGAATGTACAAAGCAAACTGTTGCTGAAATATCCACAAACTAAAAAACAACACTGAAATAAGAGCGCGTGGTTTATCAGATCAAAATCAGATGTTTATCAGAAGGTTTACTGTAGAAGATTACTGTCAGAATCATCATCGGTCCGATTCATTCATTTTTAATATTAAAATAAAATGATGTACTGTACGTGATTAAAACACCCAGTGCTCTGATGCAGCTGTAATGTTGTGTAATTATTGTCTAATGAATATGCTAAAGTTTTCTTTATGAATTATGAGTATGTTGGCTACCGTAGCTATACATAAAGATGACATGAAACTGTGGTCAAAAGTCAATCATAAATGCAGAAATATTGGGGTGTTGTCTGCTGTTACGTCCCCACATGTCAAAATTGAAACTTCTGATTTCACCATAGTAAAAACTGTTGTTTGTAACAATATGAAGTAGAGCTCCTGAAACCCCCAAATCACTATAATGCCTATTGTCTTTAAGGGCTGGTCTTGTTTGATTATTTACAAATCATCACCCTAATCAGGTGTGTTTTCACACTGGTCTCCTGTTTTGTCTTTCTTTCCTGCTCTGTAATCAGCTGCCAAACATTAGAGAAAAGAGGGAGTTGTTTATCCACCAAGCGCATGAACAGCCCCATGATTGTTTTAAGTGACCATTAAAGGCCTTCTGCCCCACAACAGCATCTCTGTTAGTACAGGACAATCAAAACCACGAAACATCGATGAAATCACAGAGAGCATCAGACACACTCCAGCACATCTGATGAGAAACTTTCCTCAAGACGATCCATGTGATTTCAGCAAAACACAGCGAGAACCAGTGCTTACATTCACACTTCAGGGGGGACTTACAGGACATCATCCACAAAAACAACACGTTCATATACTCAAACGTCACAGATCCTAAGCCAACCCTCTAAGCATGTGTCGGAAATGAGCTGAATGATCCCACATGCAATATTTAGCTTTGACTGAGATATAGATTTTCAACAGTGACCAAACAATAATTAAACATTAAAATGCTAATTGCCAAAACTAAATAGCAAGACAAAATGTAAAAAATAAATAAATAAATAAATAAAACTATTAGACACTAAAATACGAAATAAATTCTAATATGCATATAAAGTAAACAAATGTTTTGAGTGTATGAAATAAAATAAAATACAGTTGTTATTGATTTTTTACATCTACAAGGTTTTCCGGCAAACTAAAGTACAAAACGAAGGAAGAAATGAATGAACCTAGTGAAAAATAAATATAATAAAATGTATTTAAAATATAATGTAATAAGTATAACACAAATATAACAAATATAACACTTAATAAAAATACCCTGCAATTGTACTTCTGGTGTACTAAACTGGTATCCTTAAAGGTTGCTAAATTGGAACAACTAATTTTGTGCTTAATGCACTTTAATTGTGTGGAAGTAGTGCTGAAGTGTATTTGATTGTGCTAAAATGGAACTATTGCAAGTACTCTTCAGGTACACTTTATATATCTTGCATTTAAAGACCTTTATAATTTAAAGATAGTACAATCCTCATCAGTAGTGACATTAAAACACATAGGCTTAATATTAAGAAATGTGCATTGTGCACAAGTAGTAGTCCAAATAAAGTTTAATTATCATTTGTATTTTAGTAAGTCTTGAGCGATATGTCAGTAAATATGTTAAAGGGTTATTTCACCCTAAAATGAAAATTCTGTCATTAATTACTCACCCACATGTCGTTCTAGCGTGTTTATATATATATGCACACACACGCTCACACACCATTAACTATTAAAAACTATTAAAATAAAAACAACGAAATACTAAAAATGTAATGCATATAAAGTTACTAACATACCGAGTTTCAAGTTCCTAATTAAATTATTAAACTGTTAAAATAAAATAACTCTAAAATGTAAATTAAAAAGTAAGTTACTAACACATAAATATATTAATATACAAATATATAATAAAACAAACAAATACAATAATAAAAACTTTAGTTTTTTAAGTCTGTAAAACATAAACATTCACCATCAAGGTTTTCAATGCAAATTAAATTACAAGAGAATTCCAAGAAAAGAACTACTAAAACTGTAACTAAAAAAGACTTGCAATGAAAGGATATATATTATACATACTTTCATTGTAAGTCTTTGTAAAAGATTCACCATCAAGGTTTCCCCAAGCATAACTTTCCAAACTGACAAGTGTATTTTTCAAAGTAGATCATCTTTTCTGAAGCGAAATGCAAGATCATTAATTTTATGCACTGAGAAACTGAAACAAGGGGACATAAAACATTGGACCATGTATATACTAATGTGACTGATGCCTACAAAGTCACATCCCTCCCCCACCTGTGTCAGTCTGACCATCTCTCTTTGTTCCTGCTCCCCAAGTTTGCCCCGGTCATCAAACGTACATGACTCCACTCTTCAGCATCAATTCCAGCACACAGACTGGAGTGAGTTTGCTGCCCAGCCCACCACAAACTCTCAGATAGACATTGACACTTACACCAACTCTGTCCTGGAGCACATCAACAGGTGTGTGAGCAGAGTGACTACACAGAAAAAAATAATAAAATTTCCCCAATCAGAAGCCCTGGATGTTTACTCCACTCTGTGTAAGGTGAATGCATGGAAGGCAGCTGGCCCTGATGGAATACCTGGTCGTGTGCTTAAAGCCTGTGCGGAGCAGCTGGCTGAGGTCTTCACGTACATTTTCAATCTGCCCCTGGCCCAGGCAACTGTCCCCACTAGTTTCACAACCTCCACCATCGTGCCAGTACCGAAGCACTCCACTGCCTCGGCCCTTAATGACTTCCGTCCTGTCGCACTCACCCCCATCATTGCCAAGTGCTTTGAGAGGCTGGTTGTATCCCATCTAAAATCCTGTCTCCCTGCTACACTAGACCCATACCAGTTTGCCTATCGCCGCAATAGGTCAACAGAGGACGCCATCTCTACGGCACTTCACTCTGCCCTCACCCACCTGGACAGTCAAAATACACACGTGAGAACGCTGTTCATTGATTTCAGTTCTGCATTTAATACTGTAATCCCCTCCAAGCTCAGCCAGCTTGGAATCAGCACATCCCTCTGCAACTGGACTCTCGATTTTCTGACTAACAGACCCCAGTCTGTTAAGTTAGATAAACTCTCCTCTTCCATCATCACCCTTAACACCGGCGTGCCACAGGGCTGTGTGCTGAGCCCTCTTCTGTGTTCCTTATTGGCTCCAACACCATAATCAAATTCGCAGATGACACCACGGTGGTAGGTCTGATCAAAGATGAGTCAGCCTACAGCTACCAACAATCTGGAACTAAACACCCAGAAGACAAAGGAGATCATTGTGGACTTCAGGCGGACTAGGAGTCATGCACACACCCCCATCTACATCAATGGAGCTGTAATGCAGCGTGTGCCGAGTTTCAAGTTCCTTGGCATCCACATGACCTCACCTGGTCCCTAAACACCTCCACCCTGGTCAAAAAGGTTGTATACTTCTTACGGAGCCTTAAGAAAGTTCACCTGAGTCCCAGGATCCTTATGTACTTCTACCGCTGTACCATTGAGAGCATACTCACAAACTGCATCTCAGTGTGGTACTAGTAGGCTCAAGAAGAGCTTCTTCCCCGAGGCTGTGACCCTTCTGAACTCCACACCACCAATCTAACCTGCACCTGCTCTCTTACTGCATTGGTCACAGTATGTTACAAACATGTATTTGCACTATTCATATTTTGCACAGACTGTACATTGTTCACGCTATTACACTGTACGCTGTCTAACATTGTTACTGTACAAAGCACAGTAAACTATGTCTAAACTAAACTGTTATTTTGCATAGACTATACATTGTTTAACAACAACACAACCAATTTTTATTTATTTATTACCACTGTTCTTACGTTGCTGCTGTTCATATTGTACATATAACCATACATTGCACTCCTTTTTATATTATGTACATAATCTGCTTAATATTGTATATAGCAACTCCACTGTACATACTGTAAATTACAGCTTCACTTACTCTGCACTTAGCTGTTTATAAAACACTATATTCTTGCACTTCTGGTTAGATGCAAACTGCATTTCATTAGCTCTGTACGTGTACTCTGCATAATGACAATAAAGTTGAATCTAATCTAATTTCAATATTTGGCCAAACAATCTACAGATAAAAGCTTTTCAGCAGAAGGTGTTTCTGTACCTGGCTTTTGAATCGCTTGATCACGGCGGGCAGAATCACGTCCTCCTGTCCGGCCTCAGGTGTTTTAATGATGAAGTCCACATCGTGACCAAACTCCTTCCCCCTGCACATTAAACACACACACACACACACACATTATACACTGAATGCATGCTCATCTGCATTAAACAGAATCAGACGCAGAGTGTCAGCGGATCGTATGATGAGAGACACATAAGCGTGTGAGTAACCATACGGGACGAACGGCTCGTTTAATGCCTTTGCCTTTTCCTGTTACTCAAATAAGGCATTTGGCCTGCGTCATTAAACTCTCTTCTGCCGGAGCTGTCAGACGCTTATGAGTTTCACTGCTGTGTAGAGAGATTATGAAAATGAGTCTCCAAAACTCAAAGGCCTCGCATGCTCCAAATTCAGGTGGGAGGAAGGAGATATTCAGAGATATTTATGTAAAATACATATAACAGCTTGTGTGGAGTAAAAAATCAATCTTTCACAACAGTTCTGTGTTTAAAATACATCCAATGGCTGTTTAGTCAAATTTAAACTGTAAACAAGTATACAAAACACAATTTATGATAAGCAAAAATGAAGAAAGTAACATACAAATATATCACACCAATGTGCTGTCCATCAGAAATTAACGATTGAATTATTATTGAAAATAACAACCCCACAGTTCAACATTTCACCTGTAATATATAATTAAAAACAAAACCAACTCTATAATACATGTTCCTGGTCTTATTGTGAAAAAAAAATACTTTTCTAAGTACATTTTTTAATAAATAACTGAATACATAAATAAAAAATATTCTAAATAAATCAATTTCTAAATGAATACATGAATGCATGTTCTTTTTTATTTGTACCTTTTTTTAAATAAACATTTATATATCAATAAATTGAATTTTATGTACATTTCTAAATAAATGCATTTCTAAATAAAACATACTGTACATACATTTCTAAACAAAGACAGAAACACATTTGTAAACAAAGACAGAAATACATTTCTAAACAACTAAACTACATTATAAAGCACATAAAAATTAAAATGCTCTAACTAAACAGAGCAGATAAATAAATAAATATATTTCTATTTTTAAAAATGAAATGTACAAGTCTCTTAGTAAATACATTTTGAAATCAATAAATTGCTAAAGAAAATACTTTTCTAAATAAATAAATTTCTAAATAAGTTAATATTTTTCCAACCAAATAAATATCGACATTCTAAATAAATACACTCATGCAACCTCTGTCATCTTTAATCTTTGTAGTCTAATATCTCAATCATTCACCATCAAATCAATTCCTGATGGGTAAAACTGGTCTTTTGACTCAGAATACTATAGTTACTGAAATATAGCCTTGGTCTCATTATATATATATATATATATATATATATACACATATACTGTATATACATGATGATATATATTACATCTGACATATTTGAATGGATCAGATGGTGCCACATTCACGTCAAGGACCATCTGAAGTGATAAAAGCCGAACACTGTAAAGGTACACTTGAGCCGACACAAACGAGTGTGAGCAGCAGAACAGCGTGTGAATGCGAGTTAGTCTGCTTTGAAAGGCAGGCACTGGAAGAGAAAAACACAAGCGTATGCACATTACGACGGATAAGATGCTCTCAAAACTCTGAACTTGCATTTCTCTTTTCTCCTGCTCGCAGATGTAGTGCCGAATAAACAGAACTTCATATAACCCAACATCAGGCTGCTATTCAACGTTGCTTTTCGTACAAAACCGCAAAGCAAGAGAACAGCTATATTCATCCACTTTTTAAGAATTCGTGCAGCTTGCGAATTATTTAGTGCAGGCGTTGTTTAGAAATGAGCTATTTACTGCTGGATCCAATACTGAGTTGAGAGAAAACTGCAGTGAACTCTGAGCCGCTTGTTTTTCATGAGTAGGCACAGATTTATGGCTTGACAAACTGCTTTCCTATAATACAAAACACCTGCGGCTCTGTTCCAATACCTCGTGAGCCTACAATACATGGGCAGCATCCATACATGAAACGACTAGATTGAGAAACTCTAATAAATACTTTATATAAATGTATTAATAAAAAATGTAATTAAACTTTTTTTTATATATAATAATAAATAAATAAAATTCTTAATTAAAAAATACAATAAATACAATTCTAAATACATTTCTTATGAATACATTTCTAAGTTCATAAATAAATAAATTACATTTCTAAATAATCAAATTAATTAAAAAATCTCTAAAGAAATGCGTTCCTAAAACAAATAAATACATTTCAAAATAAATAAATGGATGTCAATAAATGCATTTCTAAATTAATTTCTTAATGAATAAATTTCTAAATACATAACGCTTCTAAATAAACAAATAAATAAATAAATAAAATCTCCAAACAAATAAATTTCTAAAATAAAATTTCTAAATAAAAAACTCACTTTCTAAATAATTTTCTAAATAAATACAAATATATTTCCAAAACCTAGTGAGCAGCTTTGATCATTTCTAAATAAATAAATAACTACTTTTTAAATAAATAAATAAATAAAAATATGTTTTTCTGTTTCAAAAAAAATGTGTACTGCCTACATGAGCAGCATCCCAGATGATCAAATTGAGACACTCTAATAAATAAATAAAAGTCTAAATACATAAATAAATAAATATCTAAATATTTTTCTAAGCGTCTAAATAAACAGTTATATAAATAGATGCCTAAAAAAATAAATACATTTCTAAACAAAGAAATGTCTTAATAAATACATTTCTAAATAAACAAAAATAAAATTTCTAAATAAACATATAAATTAAAATAAATAACAAAAATTCCTAAACAATATATTTCTAAATAAATAACTTTAAAAAGACTAGCTCTAACACTAGCTTTCTATATTCTTTTTCTATTTTATCTACTTGTTTTCTTTGTTTGTGTGTGGATGTGTGTTGTATGTATATATGTATGTGTGTGTGTGTGTGTGTGTGTGTGTGTATATATATGTACTGCATTGGGCTAACCGAGACTTGTTATAGCTGTAATAATGTACTTATTTGTAAGGGAATTAATCATTATTAATTCTAGGTGGGTCTGTTGTGAGACAGATCCTACATAGCACTTGCATTTTATTTATCTTTTGTTGATTTTGATTGCTTCTATTGTCTTCATTAATGTCATTAATTAATTGTCTGCTAAATGACTAAATGTAAATGTAAATAACTAACATCCACAGTAAATTTCTAAATAAATAAATAAAGCTACATTTCTCTGCTCCAAAACTTAGTGAGCAGCCTTGCTGTCTAATGCCTGAGCAGCATCCTAAACGAAATGACTGAATTGAGACACTCTTCAAGCTCAAACAGTGCTTTTTACATTGTCACCAATTGATTGTGAAATGTGTTTGATGTTTGCATGTTCCAAAGTTAATATAGTACTGTTAGTAGTATATAAACAGACTATTTTCATGCTCATAAATAAGTGTTATGAAAGCCCAAAGCATCTCTACACTGGAACATGAACACAAATGCTTAGAGCAATGTACGCTGGATTTCATGCATGGCTGAACATCTCAGCTGAAGTAAACTTCTAGAGACTCTTAGTGGAGCTGTTCATGTAAACGTGTGTGTTCATGTCGCAGGAACTGGCTTCAATCTTCCAGGCAGAATACAGAAAAGGAAAGAGCCGTGAATGAACCCGAGCCGCGTTGCTGTACGCGCTTACAGAGGCAGTATATCGCTGGTTTTTGATCCAGACTTCAGAAATCAGGCCTCAGAAGACACTACTAAACCTTCTTCAAACTAGCTACGCCGATGGAGCACACGCCAGCTCCGTTCCACCTCCTCTGATGGAGATCTGTCAGATGCAAAGCCAAAACATCGCATGCTTAAGTTGACATGTAAGAGAGAACAAATGAATCCTAGATCAGCCAGAAGCAGCGTTTGATCCTGCTGCTGCCTTCAAGTTCTCCTGAAGTTCCTTCTTATGAGTTTAGAAATAGTGATTATGATACGACCACGATTTTAACAGAAATAAAGTGTATGTGTTGGGTAATTATAGATTTCTTACTCTTTTATTTTTACCCATTTTCCAACATATTTTTGGAAAACAAGTCATTATTATATTATATTATATTATATTATATTATATATTTTTAGTTTTTAGTTTAATCTCACTTCAGATTTTGGTAATTTTGTTATGTGCTTTTGTCTTTTTTATTTTATTTAGGTGTTTTTAACATTTCTATTTAGAAATAAACTGCATGTGTTGGATAATTGTATATTTACTTTTTGTCTTTTTTACCATATATTTGAAAAATAAGTCATTATTTTAGTATTATTCATATACTATTCTAGAATTATTATATTATATAAATATAAAATTTTTTAGTTTTATATGAAACTATTTAATCATATTTTCATTTAGCTTTTATTTTATATCCTTAGTTTTCATTTTAAATGTAGGTTAGGATTTGCTCATTTTGTTATGTGCTTTTGTTCTTTTATTAGACTTTTTTCTATTTCTATTTAGCATTCATTAATTTATCTATTTCAGTTTTAGCTTTAGTAATTTTAGTACTTCAACCTAAACTTGTTTATTTCAATTAGTCATCAAGGGAGCATTTCTACTTTTTGTTTACATGTTTCATATAATATTTATTTTTATGTTTTCAAATTAACGAAAATGAGTTTTAATAGTTTTAGTTAACAATAAACTTGTTTATTGTTTGAAGAGGGGAAAAAAACAGAGGAAAAAAGTCACAATTAATTATTAAATTTAGAAACTGCAAACTTGCTAAACTTTAAACTTAAATATGTATTCTAAAAACTCCACTCCATGACAAATTCTTCGAATTTAACGATATTCAAAACAGAACAAGTATGAAAAATACATTTAAAACAAACTTAAATTATAGTTGCAGTTATAAATCAAAGACACCATTTTTTTACAGTACAAATCCAAATGTGCACTTTGCGCATGTTTTGCATGCTTGACATTAAATGCATTAGTCGCTTTGAAATATAAATCTCATGTTTCGGATTATTAAAAACGTCTCTAGGTTACGTATGTAAACATGGTTCCCCGAGGGAACGA